CACAAACACACAACCACAAACACACAGCCACAAACACACAACCACAAACACACAACCACAAACACACAACCACAATCACACAACAACAAACACACAGCCACAAAATTCACAAGGACACACACACACAACCACAAACACACAACCCAAAAAACACAACCATAACCACATAACCACAACCACACAACCACAACCACACAACCACAAACACACAACGACACAGACACACAAACACAAACCACAAACACGCAACCACAAACACACAGCCACAACACAACCACAACTACAAACACACAATCACAAAGACACAGCCACAACCACAACTACAAACACACAATCACAACGACTACCAGTACCACAAACACAATCACAAACACAAAGCCACAACCACAACCACAAACACAAACACACAGCCACAAACACAACCGCAAACACATCCACAAACACACAATCACAAACACACAGCCACAAACACACAATAACAATCACAAACACACAGCCACAAACACAACCGCAAACACATCCACAAACACACAATCACAAACACAGCCACAAACACAAAATCACAAACACAACCACAACACAGCACACAACCACAACCACAACACACAATCACAGCACACAACCCGAGGACCCACAAGCAAAATCGAGAACTACAATACTCACGACCATGGCAACATTCTCCTCACTATGGCATCAAGACAAATGATTGAAATGTCATTGTGGGGATCACTCGAAGTAAAGTAATTTGTTGTCAGTGGTGCATCTGAACACGGCTCCTGACTGGGGAGAAACAAAGAGCCTCCGACCCCGTCTAGAATTACAGCTCAAGGGTTTTGTACCATTGAGCTTTGCCTTTCGTGATGGGTATGTCAGAACAACTGCATGACCAAAACCAAAACTCCACATAAGGCTTTAAGGATTTTGGACGTCCCTCAAATGTCTTCCACTACTCACAAGAACGAAACCACCCCAGCTCCGACCAAACCCCTGCCCCCCAAACCGCAGTCCGACCGAGGGACTTTGCAAAAATGCGGAAACTACAAGAAGAAACTATATACAAGAAGACACCTTGCTGCAACATTTCATATGTGAGCGACCATCGTTACTTGTTGTTGTTGTGTTTGTCATTGCGTGTTTTTAGATGTTATTTTAGATGTTATGTTTGTTATCTGCCGTCCAGGCACTCGGCGATGCCGTGGCAGTAGACAAAAGGTTGAATCCGCGGGTTTGGTTTTGATATGTTAGACAATTTCGATGCAAAAATGTTCTGTGCTGCCATTCTCTTTCTGGTCCGATCAGTTTGATTCTGGCAGTCTTGCTTGGCCAAGGCTCAAACCAAATCCGTTCTGGGCTGCTAATAGCAAAGCCGTCCATCCCATTTGATTGTGTCGATTTACATAGTGTTTCAAATCCTGTCGTTGGGTGACTGGAATGACTGGACCCGGTTCACTACATATCATTCCAGACTACAACCATGATGGCACATGCAATTTGACTTGATTCGATTTGTATTGTATCAAGTGAAAAAGGCAGAATGCTGCCCAATCATGTTCGTCTCCGATTTCAATGATCTTCATCACTTCATCAACCCGCCAATGTCTTTCCAGCCTTTGGTGAGATACCAGGTGCAGTCAAAATGACATCGCACAGCTGCTCCATGCCCAGTCTGCAGCTCAGAATTAGAGCAGTGGATCCAAATGGATCCGTGATGGAGAGGAGTTCGTGCACTCCAAGGCGCAGGGCCCATGATATCGCATCTGCTTCACGCTGTTGCCATGGAACCTGTGGCGCCTCCTGCCACTGCAACAATCCAAGGATCTGGGCTGACAAATCCAAGCGGTGCTTTGTGGCTTCCTCCACCACTTCCAGCAATCGATTGCCAGGAAGTGCTGGGGGCAGCGGTGGTGGCCCTGGTGGTGCTGGTGGTCTGGACATCGACCCGCGTGGAGCTGACGGAACCGCCACGCCACGGCCCAAAAGAATGTCTGCAAGCGAGTCAAGAGGGATTCCTTCAGGACAAATGTTTTCTGTACTTGGGGACAGTTGTGCGCAGGGAACATAGCTGCAACCATGGATGAAAGGACGAAACTGAAAGGATTGCCGGAAGATGGGGGTTTATGTGTACATGCAGCACATGCAAGTGTGCATCGCTAGGTTGGGGGACTTCTGGTTTTGCAGAGATATCAGCTGAAATCACTGTATACCTAGCCGCCTTGTTGTTTCTGCCCTGCCTGCCGGCCCCATGCGAAGGCTTCGTATCAGGGTGGGGATGGCATATTCAGGTACCCCTGCTTGAGCTGCCACCCTTGAAATCTCATAGGCAGAAATCACGCCGTCCGCATCCAGATCGAACATCCGCAAGGCATTTTCCAAGGACTCGTGCTCCTCAAAAAGTTGGTGATGAAGCATGATGAAACCATCACAGCACATAACAACACAGGAGAATCCAAAATGGGAAATCAAGAGCAACATGTCCTCGTCATGCTCCTGATGCTAACTGGATCTATCTTATTACGTGCCATCTTTAGTCCCTTCAATCTTACCCTGGGACTTCTCCAGCCAGGGCACGAATGAAAACCACACCAACAGCTTCTTTTGGGCAGCAACGGCCAGCTCGGCTTCTTCCGGAGTCAGGAGATGCATCATGTGAATTCACACCGGCTCACGACAGTGAGCTTGAGAAACGCAAAGAACCAACCATGGTGGCTGTTCAGCCAGTTGCGCATGTTGAGCGCGGCATGGGGCTGTTCAGCTACTAGGAGCGAGAAGCTGCTAGGAGGCCATCGCTATTAGGTTGGAGGTCGTTGCGACTAGGAACAGGAAGCTACTAGTGGACACATCTTCCAGGACTTGTCTGCTTTGCCCAACACATCGCCACTCTCAAACGGAAACGCTCGTCAATGCTACAGGTCCAGTGGCGAAAGTCGAAACTGACCGGCTGAATCAAATCATTTGCCAATGTCCTACTTTGAATAATCTCCTTGAGTTGTACTACAGCGTCGTGCCCTTGCCATCATGTAACCCAGATTATATATATATATATATGCATGTTGAAAAATATTCCTGAATTATATATATGCATATGCTACATTTTGCCACGTCCATTCTTGACCATGTGTGCCCTCGTCAATCCTGCTATCTTTTGCCTCGGTCTTGAGAACAGCTGTCCTTGCAAAAGGACAAGCTAAAGCTGGTGGTGAACTCAAACCAGCCTCAGCGAATATATAGACCCAAGGTCTTGAGATGAGATACAGCAGCATATTCAAGCGAAAGCAAGCGGATAATTTAATATTCATCACTTTCTGACTATGCTGTCTGAGTCAATCATGGCCTCTGAGCACACCAGGGACAATTGCGCATCTGCAAGCTTGAAAGATGCTGAGCTTCGCTAACATCCACCGCACTGAAAAACGCTCCCGCTTTTTGGTGCTCGCAAAGTTTTTGCAGACCGGTAACTGTGGCCAAATCTGAAAAAGACTTTGCAAAGCCAAAGCGCACTTTGCATGGCAAGACTCCCAGTCTCGAAGCATGGACGCAATTTTTGTTTTGGCAAATGGTGGTGACATCCTGAATTTTGTCATGGTCAGGTTCATGTCTGACTGCGTCTTTCAGCACGGGTTGATTAACTTCAGTAATCCGATGAACACGCTGCTCAATAGTTACCAACTGTGCGCAGCAAAAACTTTGTAGCTCATAAACCCATATAAAGCCTTCTACATATACACATATATACAGTACATGCTTGTATAATATGCATTAATTTGCAATTCTGCAATGTTCTGCACTTGCATTGCCAGCCTTCTCCAGCACGCATTCTCACTTCTTGCTGGTGGGCGTAGGATATGCTTTTCAAAAAGACCGGTACCCTCCCGTCCAAGACTCGCAAAGGCGACCAAGGTAGAAAGAAACATACCAATCCAAGACAGAGTATGATAAGTTGGGGTGGGGTAGGTGTCGGATTTCTTGTGGACATGCTATGTTTCACTTTTTGGCTCTTTTTATGTGGCTGATTTGCAGTGGATTGCGGGCAACCCAGTCAATATCAAACGCAAAGGACTGGGCGACCAAAGGACCGGGTAGCTTTAGCAGTGCAAAGATCAAATAATGAGAGGAATAGTGAATAGTCTTCCAGGTATGCTGAAAAGCCATTTGATCGGTCGGTAAAATGTCCATATTTATATGTAATTTATGTAATTCTATATAATCAATCTATGATGCACATGCCATGCGGAGATATAATCCTCTTTCACATAACAAACTGCTCATTGACTTTGCCATAGGCAGAGCGATGGGGTAGCGTGACACAACCAGACTTTCAAGCGCCGGAAAAGCTCCTTTCTCAAGCTCAAGATTTGCTAGATTTATCGTTGGATGGGAGCCAGTTTCACGTCACGCTTCAACGGTCGGGCATGTGCTCACGTACTCCACAGCCAGTTGGGCATGGCCGGATCAGGTGCCAGGCCCTGCGGCCCTGCTAGGCTGGAGTGCTGAACTACCACTCGTACCGTTCCTGAGCCTGGCGCTCGGCTCGCTACACTCGACTGGAGGCTGAACCTCGGGAAGGTCCTCCGCACGCATCCACTGTGGACGAAGTGCCCACTCAAAAGAATTTGATCCAAACAACCACGAAATCATTTCCATTCTGGCCATGAATGCAGGGGAGCACTGTAGTGCAATGCTAAGCAGGAAACAGTTGTTAGTCAAATAATGTTGCTTTTGAACACCAAAATTTGGACGACAACTTCGAGCTAGCTTTCGACAAATCTCCAAATCCATCCAAATCCGCTGAATATTTCCCTCCATGAAAGGTCACATCGTGTTCGACATATTCAAAACTCGCCACAATCTCCTGCCATCATTCCTAGCTAGTCCCATCTGCCCACCAGGGCTCAGGTCTCTAAATCACCTGCAGCAAAAGGATGCAAATGGCTGCTCTGGGAAAGGATAAGGTGACATTCAGAATGGACACTTTGCAGCGAATCCATCTTCTTTCTCCGGCTTCGCATTTCCCATGGGTCACATTTTCGCCTTCATTCACAAAAGACTCGAAGAGGCGGAGCTCCTCCAAATATGCCTCCTGTGACAAAGAGAGGTGCCTGATGCCTGATGTAAAAATAAGACATTTACATTTACATTTTCTGTGACATGGCCTTCTTGTTCAGCTTCTCAGCTTGAAGAGGCTCAACACTCTCACCAGCTGCCATGGAGTCCTAGCATCGAAAGAAACCATGTTCTTACACCTGTGCTGAGAACGCTCTGCCACATTCTGATCTCAGACTCTTGTGGAACAATCTCCGCAACACAAACTTGGGCGAGGAAAGCTAGCGGCTAGCGCACCAGGCCGAGGCAAGAACATTCGAGGCCATAGAACCTCCTGGTTTGCCTCTTCGGGGGTCCTCAATCTTCTGAATTTCTCGTAGCTTCTTTTTCAACTTCAGCATCTCCTGAGGGCAGAAAAGAAGGTATCTCCATGCCTTGAATTGCGAAAAGAATCCACGCTCCCAGAACGAGAACCCCATTCTTAGTTTCTTGCTGTTCACTCACTGGTCCTTGGAGTCACCGGGCAAGTTCCTGTACGATGATGTCACAGCAGAAGGCTGTGGTTTTGCCTCGCTTTTGCCAAACTCAGACTCAAACGCAACAAAACAGCTAACGTATTTCCAAGACGATTAAAGAACTGGCATTTCTCAACGAATAGGCTGCGATTTGGTTCGAGTTGATTGGTATTTTGCAAAAGTTAGGCAAACCCGAATGTTGGCCTCGTGTTTGGCTTCAGGTTCTTTAGGCGCCTCCCAAACCAACATGACTGCCCGCTAGAGTCATTTTACGACGATCCATCACAGACCTCAAGAATGTGCGCTTCGACAGGTGTCGTGCGAAAACCAGCGTATTTGTCCCACCTCCTCCGGCTGGTGCTCCGCACGAGCAGCCTGGGAACAAATCCAAACATATCACCAATCGGACCAACAGTAACAAGAACAATGCACGAATATGTCAGAATCATGATTGATCGGCCAAAACTGATGCTGTGTGAGTGTTGGTTTGCATCGAACCTGTGGGGACTTGTGGAGCAACCCTCCAAAAAAGCTTGATAAGGACAATGAGGATTCAAGGTGCCATGTCTGCAACACAGCATTCTTTTCTTCCTCCAGCTCTCTCTCTCTCTCTCTTTGTATCTCTCTGCCTTGCCTCTCTCTCTCTCTCTCTGTCTCTCTGTGTGTCTCTCTCTCTCTCTCTCTCCCTCCCTCCCTCCCTCCCACACGAACAAATAACCCAAAACCCTACAGCCTCCTTTGCTTCTCTTGCCTGCGTGGCAGCCGCTACAACCAATTGGCAAGGGCACATCATTCTAAGCTTTAGTCACTTGGCAAGCTGGCCTTTCTTTTTCTTTCTTTTCTTTCTTCTTCATCCTCGTGATCATCTCCGTCTTTCTCCTTCCTGCAACATGGTGGAACTTGTGGTCGACAACTTTCTGTCCCCCGGGCTGAGGATATAAGTGAACACCTAACATTGAAATACGATGAAATACGTACACAGCACGCACTGGCCTGTGCTTCGGGCGAGGGCCAGTTGTCATTGTCATCATCTCTTCTGGCACCTGTCAACGGGCTCGCGCAAAAACATGAAACATAAATTGCATTGATTGATGCGGGCTCAAGCATTCTGGTGCATTCCTCCCCTACACATTCATGCTTATTGCCCAATGTCTGAACCGCTGCTCCTTGGCACCGGCCTCATATGCTTTCATTTTCAATATCTTCTGCTTAGCTTGGAGAAGAAGGCCACGCGAGTACTTCTGTTCAGACCAAACGCACCTTTCGAAGCGCGGCAAGGCTCGAGGAGGGAATGATTGCTTTTAGCAAACTGTTGATTGCCACCTGCGGCACCGTGCGGATGGCATTGCGAATTCGCCAGTCAAGCGTTGCTGAAGGCACGTTCTCTAAAGCCAGAAAAGATGGAAAGGAAAATGCTAGCTGCTAGGTTTGTATCAGGCGTCGGCTTGTCTTGAAACTTCTCCTCCTGTTCCTGAAGCTGCCGAACAGTTCAATCATGGTAACACAACATGCATAAATTTTCACGACTCATGAGTACACCGCCACTGCACATTCCACCTTTGGTCTCATCCACGCAGGTCTCATGGCAGAAGTAAGCCCCGTCAAGGAACCACTGGGGGCAGCTTCAATCTCCTGGATCAACCCAGGAGGCTGCAGTCTATTGTTTAACTGTTGACAGCTGTAACTTGGAGGAGTTACAAGCTCGAAGTCTAAGAAGTCTGTCTCTCTCTCTCCCTCTCTCTCTTCTTCTTCTTCCCCTCCCTCTTTCAAATACAAAAATAGGAATTCCCTGACTAGGCCAGTGTTTCTAGCCGGGGCTCTGTAGTCAATGCTGCTGTAGCTGTAGGCCCACATTTTTTCTCTGGGATTGATCACTGTAGTGCCAGGCTCAAGGCCGAGCGGTAAATAGCATGTGCAGTTAGGGTGCGCAGTGTACAGTGTAGTGACCCTTGACGTGCCATCTTGGAGACGCTGTTATGCTGTGCCTTGCTGCCCTATAGGCAGCTAGCCTTACGTGCTGTTTTCATCCCTTTTCTGCTGAAGCAGTGGCCACTGCTATGGACGAAGTAGTGCCAGGCACCTACAGCAACTGGTTTTCAACTCCTAAGCCTTAGCCTACTATGGCTGCTTTGCGTTTGAGACCCTCAAATACGTGGCGTGCACTACGAAGTTGATCGAAGTGTTGAACTACCTTCGCTGGACAGTTGAACCGTCCTCCCAGGTTAACCGGTTGCAAGGCAACCTGGCCTTGCGCGCGCCAGCGCCGGCAGTAGGTGCAACAAAACCCAGTAGCCCCAGGTGTAGACGTAAAACCCCACGTGGTGGCGCATTGGATGGTAGAGACAGTCTATGATCACAGCGAGTGCAGAAAGCCTGGTCCACATTCACCTTCGTAGGTCCCCATGCCAAGTTTGCTCCACTTCTCCTCTACGCTTTGGTGCAGTAGAAACCTGCATTCTCAGCTCCCAGGGCTAGTTGCTCGACCGAAGGAGTCACGAGTAGCCGCTTGCCATACTGTGACTGCGTTCAAGAGCTGTCGGAAGTGGCATGACGGCAAAGACACGAACTGTACCTTTCAAACTCTGTGCAACTCGACCTTGATACGTCCTGTGTACATGCCATTGGTGCTCAAAGTGCACGATGCAGCAAAAATGCGATGCCCCCCTCGTGTACAGGTAATTGTACATGATATTCTGTCACAGTTTTTGTCAAACTCATTCACCAAGAAACAAACTTGTAGTAGCACATGAAGCGCATGAAATTATGGTGCTTCATATCGTGCCAGGCCGTGGCTTAGGTGCGGGCCTATGTGCCCGCAATGAATTTTGCGAAATTTCTGCTGTGTTCTTGTATGGTTTGGTGTATGCTAAAAAGATCTGATAAGTCCTTCCTTCACCAAATGCTGTGCACAAAGAGAGCAATTTGATCTGTCCGTGGTTTTCCGTTCCTTGAATCACATTGAGGCTCCTCGTCGCGCAACGATGCTTTTGCCTGCTGCCGAGTCGGCGTGTCGCCGGATGCCTTTTGGGCGATGCCTGCTTCTAATAGATGTTCTTTGATGTGTAGTCCGGCGCAGGTTGTCTAGAGTTCTCTTTTTTGCGCTGAATTCAAACACTGTAGACCGTCTGCTCAGAGGGCATCCTGCCCTGTCAAGCAGATTGGGGTGTTGTTCTCTTCCAAGTAGTCACGTCCTCAAAGGAAGACTTGTTTGCATCGCTCCCTCTAGTTGGTGCTGGATTGCATTTCTTCGTCTTGACTTCGCCAAGTAGGGCCAAGTAGGTCCCAAGAGAGATGCAGTGCCGTACTGCATCGTCTTCTGGACCTACGTGCGTAGCTACAACTGAGTCAACCGTGATGTAGCCGGTGCTTTTCTTCACTGGTACCGCTGTTGCTGTAGCTGTCTTGTCTGTACCGATTTGGTACTCTGTTGTTCGGTGCCAGCTGGGTGTTGTTTTAGGTGGATTGATGCAATGGTGTGTGCTACTCCACCAGTCGCCTCCCTGAGTTTGGCCGTAATCTGTTTGCTCTGAATCTGCGTAGTGTCCAAACCTATTTGTAGCATACGTTGTCCTTTCCCTGTAGCTCTTTTGCCTTGTCATGTAGAGATTAGGCTTGTATTGCCCTGTGCCTTCCCTTTTCCTTTGTTGCTGTCCAGCCTCATTCAGAATAGCAGCCTTGATAGACTGAGGTTGTGGTGAAACGTGGTCTCTTTCGTGGCGGGACACCTCGTATTCCCATTGGAGGAGCGTCTCCTCAAACTCTCATCGAAAGTGGTGTCAATAACACATGCTCCTTGTACCAACTGGTATGGAGAACCTCTGTTGCAGTTGTCTGTACGTCCCGAGCCCGCTGCAGAATCTTTAACGGCGGTGCGTGAGCAAATTCTGTAGCTGCTGCGTCTGTGCAAGTGCTGATGGGTATGCAGCGCACATCTTTTGCCATCTGCAGCCATCTGTCTCTCTTCTGTAGAGGCACCCAAGTCTAAGTCTGTCTATATAGTAGTTCTGATGTTGCTTCTTTTGCACTGAGAAGTTTGGCATAGTCTCAGTGTTGTAGGCACCGGTAGGCTGTGAAATGTCGAGTCTACTCTTCCCATAGTGTCATGGTGTAGTCTCCATTGAAATTCCATTGAATGTAGGTGGTGTCGTTCCCATTGTATGTAGCTGATGGCCATTTCGGGCTGCAGTGTTGCTTGTCGGCTGTTCCTGCTTGTAGCGGGCGTGGAGTGGTGTGTAGCTGGAGTGAAGCTCCGCTACCGCGGTAAAGTCAACAAAGCGACTGGCCAGTGTTTGTAGTTAGGGCTCTGTAGCCAATGCAGCTTGCGCTGTAATACTAGGCTCATGATAGTGCACAGTGAGTGCCCCTTGACATCTATATATACATAAATAAATATAAACACACTCTGACATTGGTATTCAGTTAACTCTGTTCCCACGCTGGGAAGGAAGGTGACAGAACTGCATGGTGGAGAGTCCGAAAGACTTGTAGTTGGTCAAGTCTGCAGAACGATCGGTCGGCGCGGCTCAGCCGCAAAACAACGCGGCTGCAAGAAAGGGTTTGGGGGGAAGTATCATGCAAGGACCATGAACCAAAAACGGTAAGAGTAGAGTCACAGCTTGTGAACATTACACGTCAGCAGGTACGTGGATTCTGCGTCCAGAATCCATATCAGTAACTCAAAGCAGCCTCTTCGTTGGACTGCCGCTGTTAAGAGTCAGGCAGTCCCCCTGCTTTGGAAAATGGTGGTGACGATAACGGTGGCAGTGAACCCTTTGGCACAGGGGGTGACACACACACGGTGCCGCTTCGCGGCACGCGTGTGAAAAACCTAAATAGTCACCTAAAAAGCCTTAGAAACAAAAGAAAAGAAAGACAGAAAGAGCAGCGCTAAGAGGGCAAGAAAGAAAGGTAGGTGTAGGAAAAAATGAATACTTAGCCCTTGACTGGGGTAGGGAAACAAGCCTCAAGGACAACCTAAAAAGCCTGAGAGAAAGCCAAAGAAACGACCGAAAGCGTAAGAAGGAAAGCGGGGGGCAGGGAAGTGTATGTACATGTGTGTGTCCGTGTGTGTGTATGAATACTTAGCCCTCTAGAGTTACCGATTACTTAGCAGAAAAGAAATTAATTACGTGCAATAGCTAGGGAGCGGGACTTTAGTCTTAGACCGCCCGGGTAGGAAAGACTAGAAAAGGAACAACGCAGGGAAAGGCACCGACACACAAGTGTGTCGAGTACCATTTCCCTATGTTGCCCTAATTAGGTAGGGAGTAGAACTCAGCTGGGGGGGGGGTTGGGAAACCTGCCTCATTGGGGGTGGAGTACCGTTTTTTTGTAGCCCGGCGGCTGACCAAGTAATCCCGTTTTTTGGCCCGCCGGCCTTTGAGGCAGTTGATTCGGTGGAAGTGGAGGTGAATTCCAGTGAAATTCCGGTGAGCGGTGGTGAGTTCCGTTAAAGATTTCCCAATGAAACGGCGCCCCAGTGACGGGGATCACACTCAGCACCCGAGTGGGATGGCTGAGCGAAACACACTCTGACATTGGTATTCAGTTAACTCTGTTCCCACGCTGGGAAGGAAGGTGACAGAACTGCATGGTGGAGAGTCCGAAAGACTTGTAGGTGTTTTAACAAGTTGTTGGTCAAGTCTGCAGAACGATCGGTCGGCGCGGCTCAGCTGCAAGACAACGCGGCTGCAAGAAAGGGTTTGGGGGGAAGTATCATTCAAGGACCATGAACCAAAAACGGTAAGAGTAGAGTCACAGCTTGTGAACATTACACGTCAGCAGGTATGTGGATTCTGCGTCCAGAATCCATATCAGTGACTCAAAACAGCCTCTTCGTTGGACTGCCGCTGTTAAGAGTCAGGCAGTCCCCCTGCTTTGGAAAATGGTGGTGACGATAACGGTGGCAGTGAACCCTTTGGCACAGGGGGTGACACACACACACACACACACATATATATATATATATATAAAATTTATTTCTCTCTCCCAATCCCTGTCGCCCTTCCCAAGAGATGATTCTTTGATGAGTTCCCAGCCTTCGGCTTGTTCCACTCCTTTCGATTCCGACGCTCAAAGGCCTTCTCATCCTTGCGCAAGGAAACGCGGCTGAAAGTGGCCAAGGACAAGATTACGTCAACATAATCCTTCCGCCTACAGCCTATACACCCTTTTTGAAAACTGCTTACAGCCTGCCCTCACACCTGCAAGTTTAATTTCGGATGGGAGGAAAGCTAGCTAAAGAGGGGCGTCCCACAAAGCTGCATAACAGCAATCCGGAAGTGTCTTGTTCCCTGGCGGTAGTGTGAAGAATGAACCGAGATCCAGGCCACAGTACAAATGAAGAAAGATGAAGAAGGCACTTCTTGTGAAAATTGCCAAAAGCTTTGGAGGAAATGCCGGAGCTGCAGCAGTGAGAGCTCTTAGCCTCACGGGATAGTGTCGGTGGACAGTTGAGGCCTTGAGTGCAGGACAGAAATTGAGGCACATTTGGGCGATGATGGTGTGTTTGTGAATGAACAGAGGAGATGTAATGAAAACTGAACAACTGAAGGAATTGAACCACACGGTGACGAAGATGGAGATAAGGGTGAAAAAGTTTGACGAAACAGTGAGAGAAACAAGGACGCAAAAAAATCGGAAAAGAAGGAAACAAAATCACGAGGAAAAGAGTCAGGTTGAGCTTGTCAAGTTCTGAAGAGAGTCGAGAGTTCCCATGGAGATGACTGAAGCGCAACGGAAGGCCCGAGAGGCACTCAGAGCTGCGACACTGTGGAAATAGAAGGGTGGGACGGAGAAAAGTTGGTAAAGAGCAGCATCGCGGGTCTTCAGCTTGTCTAGGAAACATAGGACGCCACGAATATCTGTTCGTGCGTTGCAGGAATGATAAGGATGTTCCATGATGTTCCCATCCGGGAGCCTTTCTGGATCCTGAAACAAAAAGCTGAACTCAAGTTCAGTTCCTGCCCTCATGGATTGGTACATGACATAGGAGTGAGGACAGGCTGACCCAACGAGCTACCCAATACTCCTCAATACCAAGCATGTTTGTGCTGAGAACATAGTTGGCACAACATCGGCAACGCGTTGCCTCTCCGGGCTTGCCACGTCGCCACAAAGGCAAATCTGTCCTGCACAATTTGCAGCCAACACTGAATGGCGCAGGAGAGAAAATATTCCTCAAGTACCCCACGGCATTCCACAGTTCCGTTTGAGTCTGTTCAAGTCTGAAAGTTGCTAACAGTTTCTCCTGCCGTCAGGCTGGCCTTTTTCATCCTGTTCAGAGAGGGGCGACTCGTGTCTCACACCGCATTACGGTGCAACAGAGAAAAGCAAGTTAGGAAGACAAATTACCTCTGGATACAAGCGTGCGTAGCTGCTATATGAAGCACTTTTGGATTAGCGTTAAACAAGCAGGCAAACATGTAACATGTATATATTATATATATATATATGCACTACTCTGCTCTGCCCACCTCTTGACCCTAGCCGCGCTTTTTAAGCCGGGGTCAGGTGCCCTCTGATTGAAACTGGCTTGCCCTCCAATCAAGCTCTCCTTAGGAGGAGCTTGGGGTAGATGGAGTGACTTTGAAAGCTACCGGTGGGACACGCATTTCGTGAATGTTATTCCTACGGAGAGTGCGTGCACTACTCTGCTCTGCCCACGTCTTGACCCTAGCCGCGCTTTTTTAAGCCGGGGTCAAGTGCCCTCTGATTGAAAATGGCTTGCCCTCCAATCAAGCTCTCCTTGCCCCCTCCTCCACGCGTCCCAACTCGGCCGCAAGCCTTTGGCTAGCGGCGCGAATCTTCTGACAACTCCGCGGAGGCAGGATTAAGGCAGTATATTCGTGGAGGGCTTGATCGAGGTAAAGGCGTGCGGTAGCTATATGCTTCCACAGGCTTTGGCCAAAAGTTGGTCAAAAGGCATGCCTTGGGCATCTGCCGATGTTGCTCCCCCCGTCGTAAGCTTGGGAGGCAGTTAAAAGCCCCCAGATCCCAGCGGAGCGCCACCTCTTTCCACAAGGTCCGGAAGGCTCCTGGGGAACAAGCTACTAATTGTCATCAGGCCTACGTCGCTGACACAGCAAAGGCAGGCAGGAGATTCCTGTCTGCTCTGAAATGAGCACTTTTTCACTGGATTGGAAATTTTGTTGCGCTGTCTTTGGCAAAAGCCCGCAAAAGGCAACCATCGTAAGTTGCGCTAAACGAGGGCGCTGCCATTTCCACAGCACTCCTGCAAAAGCCAAAGTAAGCTCGGGGCTGAGGGGCGTAGCCCTCACGGGCTGTTCCAGTTACTTATTCCCCGGGAACAAGTTGCCACGGCCCTTTGAGCTGTCCTCTCAACTGTGGCTTTCGGTACTGGACAGCAGCTAAGACATAGTATTGACTCAAAACCGCTTCAAGTCCTGACTCATTCAGCACCATTTCAACCGCAACTCCCACAACGTTTGCTAAATTGAAGAGTGCCACAGCATAGCGCTCCAAAGTGTTGGCTGAGACCCTTTGGTTGCTCAATTTTCCTATCTTTTGTCGCTCAGCCTTGCGGTCTTCTTTGGTCTCTCTTCTTTTAATTGCCCGTTCCGGCATCTCTTTCACATTGGCGGCGTGGTGCGTGCTGGAATCAACCGGGAGGCAATCCAATCCCATAGCGGATACAACTTCAGAGCGACACGCAAGGTTGCGATCTTCCGCAAAACGCGGTTGATCTTTCGCGAGCTGCTTCTTCCTTTTGTCAGCGCTGCTAAAGATCTGTGAATCTGACTAGTGCAGAAAGCGGCACGAGTGGACCGAGTGGGATGAGCCTGACCGTGCTCGCCCTTCCAGGCTTCGCAAAAATGCGCTCAAATGGAGCGGTTGATGCGCTCTTCTCGCTACCACCTGTAGGCCTGGGCAACCTTCCAGACCCATCGTCAAGGATCCACCGTCGTTCTCACCACTGCATCCGGCTTATAGACAACCTGGAGGTCCAAGCAAACATTACTCCCCCAAAACTCCATCCTCCTCAAGTATTTGTGGATCAATTGTACATTCAGGAGTCTTGCTCCTCCATCCTTTCCAATACTGTGCCCTGACAGACGCAACCATTCCTCCTTCTCTGGACTCTTCATCACCTGGAGCAAAGCCTTCGCCGGCTTGGGGTCCGTTCGAGCCTGCTTTTTCCAGAGCCAGAGGTCTAGCAGGCCAGCCACTATCACTGAAAGCTTCTCGAGCTAATGTCTGTTGACGGTGCTCATCACTTGTCGTAGCTTCTTTCCTGAAGAGTGCTAGGGTGTATCCCGTGGGATATCCCACCCGGCGTTCTCGCTCTGTCGTAAGGCCACCCCTTTAACTTCATCCCCCTTGGCATTGTGGAAGAGGGACTCAGGTCTGCAACTGTAAGGTGGATACTTCATTTGATCTTCTTACCACCTCTCAATCGTACTTGCGTTGCAGCTGGCTATTCCTGCTGGATCGCTCGGCGGATTCTTCCGTGGGATAGCCCGTGCGAACGTTGGCAGCCGTATGTCTTTGCTCACTTCGGCCGCAGGCCAGATCCAGCCTTCATCACGTACCAAGTTGAGAGGTTCAAGCTCTTCGTTGAAAACTATGACCTTGTACAGCGCATGGTGGCTTCTCTGGAAACTGGGATGGTCCTCCAATCCCACATTGCTCCAGTACAGCCGTGGTCTCCGAACCCAAGAAAGGCCCGCTGGAACAGACGTATAGGGGCCTCTTCATCTCCAACCACATTTTCGACCATCAGAAGCGACCAGACGTCCATCTCCCGCGCCAGATCTTCAATGGTCCTAGCACCTCAACGTACTTGTAAAAGAGTCTGGACCTTGGCTCCTGCGCGTGCTGACGATCGGCGTTCAGTCTCGAGATCCCTTGGCGGGGCGATCCTTGTTGAGTCTCCTGCACTCAGGATCCTTCTCAGTGACTACCAGATGATCAACTTTTTGTCTGGCGAGTTCCAAAGCCCTGCTGAGGCCCAGGCCACCAATCCCAGCAAAGAACTCGAACACCAACTCCTTTTCCTCCAGGGCGCACATCTCTCGCCCTCTGCTGGTCAACTTCGGTCCATACTACATACACCAAACCTTCTCCTGTTTCGCTAGAGGCACATGCAGCTTTGACCTCAGGTCACTAACACGGAGAGGTTGGATACACCCGGCCAGCAAAGTCTCTTCAACTGGCTTTCCTCCGAGCTTCACTAAATCTTCACCATCTGAAATGTTCTTCCACACATAATCAAACGTTCCAAACAGTGGTCGTCTGAACTGCAGCGTATGGATTTCTCGACCTAATAAAATCTGTTTTCCCTTTCGAGGAACTCGTTCCTGCTGCGACAGCCAGAAGGCCAGCGAAAGACTGTCTAAAGCCCGCTTTGTGGACCCCTTCAGAGTGCCCTGCTCACCATCGAGGATAGCTCCTAACTTCTCCGCTTTCTGGGCCCTTTTGCAAGCTCTTTGCTGTTGAATAGGAAACCCCGCGGTCAGCGTAAGTGCGTCTCAAGGCTTCTTGTCTTGCTCTGCTGAGCTCTTACCTTCTAGTTCCTTGGCTACCCTGGCTTCCATGATTTCAAGCAGGTCATATCATCCAGGTACAGCGACCATAGCTTCTCCTCCTTGTCAAGGTCCGGGAAGACGCTGTCCCTTCTGATTTCACATCGCCCAAGAAAGCCTGCTCCCCCACTTGATGGAGACCTCAATGCCAAACGTCTGTCACTGGTCGACCCCTGGTGAACGCTGCTTTCCTCCTCCATTCCACAAGCAATTCAGCATTGTTATTGTCAAACTGCGCCAAATCAGCAAACCTGATCTCCTTGCATGTCGAAAGGCCTCCTTATCACTTCCTCCAAACTTCTTAAAGTCTCATTTTTCGATTAGGCGCTTCAACTCCTCCTTCGCATCGGTCCAAAGCGGCAGGGGAAGAACATCCCTCTGTCTTCCCCTCTTGCCGTCGTCAGACCCCGGCTTTGTGGACCGCACCAAATACTCCCCAAGATTGGGAACTTCACCTGCCGAATTCTTTCGAAACTCGCCCGTCCCCCGCCGCCTTTTCCCTATTTTGGATTTTTGTTCTTGCTCATCAGCTCCTTCAGTTTTAGGCTTTAGGCTGGCGGCTTCCTGCTTTGTCGCTCTTCGCCGCTCTCCCTCGGAAGTCAATGTTGCGGCCTGTGGCGGAATCGACTCTTGGATATTCTTGGTGCCTTGCTAACATCCAGCTGTTGTCTCGTGGGCCTTTAGCCGCTGAACCAAGAGGTCCCCCAATTCTGGAAGCTCCGCTTGTATCAACATGTCGGTCGCCGTCCCCAAGTGATCAACTCTCGGTGATTCTTTACCCCGATGGCCTGAGGAGGGTCCTGAACCACGTAGGCCATCATCCGGCAGGTCGACCATCTTCTGTGCCCCCTTCGGCCCCACTTGCCAAATACCGGCTCAGCTCCTTCATGCTGCGTTTCAACAGCTTCCCGGCCGGGGTGTCTTTTCAAGAGCCCACACTTCGTCCTCCCCCCGGGTTGTGGGCATGCGAAAACCTTGCGACGACTCCGACGAACGACTCTCTTCTGACCTGCTTCCTTCAGGGGACGAGTCCCGATCCTTCTTTCTGGAGCGATCCTTCTTGCGACTTCTGTCCTCTTTCTTTCGTTGTTGCTCCCTGCGTTCCGCGGCTCTCTTCTCAAGAAGTGCACCACCGTGCGGTCCCCTCTCACGCTCGTCCTTCTTTTTCTCAAACCGACTCAACTTCTCACCCTTCTCAACTTCAGCTGACTTCAAAACTTCTAAAGCCTTATCCAGCCCTGTAGGATCACCATGGCCCTCAGGGCCCCTCTTTTGGCGGTCCCGCAGGCTCTGGAACCCTGGCAACCCAGGAGTCAACACATTATATAATCCATCTCCGACATCATGAACACGTTCACCAAACGCCAAAGGCTAACATGCACCAACTCTCTGCCATCACCTCGGCTGAGTTTGTCTTTGCACTTCTTCCTATCATCTCTGCAGAGGTGGTGCAGGCATTTGTCCTGCGTCAAGTACTGTTAGCCGTACCATTAATAGTAAGCATCACTGGCGACCAGGTGATCACCGATCAAATAGCATCGGCCCAAATCACCCCAGTTCTCGACTCTCATGCAGGCCTTTCCCTGAGCTGCTCCATGCCAATCATAGCATTCATACTCTATCAGGCATCCTTTGTTTAGGACTGATTCAGCATAGCCCCAAACGTCATCATGGCTTTTGGCGTCCACCCACATCAGGTGACTTGGCATCAGGCCTCCTTGCATGAGGTCATTCCAGTCCTCGAGGGTGCCACCTTTCTCAAAGAACCTTATCTTCTGCGCTTCCATAGTTCCAAGGCCTCCAGACTCAAGTCTTGGAGGGATAGGGTTTTCAGGGCCTCCTCTCGGAGCAGGACAGCGCTCTTGTCTCCTCGGTGGCCCCTCCTTTCACTACACGCCCGCACACACACACAAAAGCCATCCCTACTCTCTTGCTCCCACAAGGGAAGCCTGGAGAGAAAGGGGAGGGCACTTGGGCCAATACCCCAACAACCACACCCCACAAAGGGGATCCGGTCGTCAGGGATGGCGGGATGGCTCCCTTTTTCTCTCTTTTTCATGTCTGACCCCCCACCCCTCCCTCCAGACGGAAGCCTGGGACGGAGAGGTCAAACACCTTGACTTTGAAAGCTACCGGTGGGACACGCATTTCGTGCATGTTATTCCTACGGAGAGTACATATATAAATAGTTACATATATAATATACGATAGAAATATATAGAAACATAATGAAATATATACATTGGTAACATACGTACCGTACTGCTCCAGACTGGCATGACTGGTCCTAGAAGGACGAGGTTAGCCAACCACAGGGTGAACACACCGGAGCCAACTTAACAAATCAAAGAAGGACTTGAAGAATAATTTGGCTGCTTGGTGGAATTTGAACAACATAAAACAGGCGCTCATTGGCGTCTGGTAGCTTGCCTTGTCTCTCCTGGAAGTGCCTGCCGATATGTTTGCACATCGGAACATCCGCAGTTGGAGTGGACATGAGCGGACAATCTGCTTAAATTTTGGAACGACCCAATGTACAAGCACACAACTACTGTACAATCTCAGCAGGTCATTCGACAGGGTCGCAGCCTTTGCTCTTGAACACTTCACAGCCCTCTGTTCTACAAAATATGCTCAACTGCGGTGTTGCGCTCAAAACATGTGAACTGAACTCCTTTCTGCCCGCCTGCCGCATTGGCAGTTTTCTCATCTTCTTTTGCACGCAGGACCAGGCCATCAACAAGTTTAACGGCATTGGCGACCTGGACATCTGGCAGTGCAGAAAGTTGTGCACAAACATCTCAAACATTGTGCAATGGTCCAAACTGTTCAAGCCGAGATGACCGGAAACCATGGAAACATGTCGTGCAATGACTTGGACCTGTTTCTTCGTGCCCCTGTAGATCACCATGCGGGGCATTCCCGGTGGAAGGGTCTGATCGATTTCGATGGACGCACCAGACCTGAATGGATTTCGGCTTGCAATGCGCGTTTTACATCAAGGTTGGCACGTTGTGCGACAGTCAAGGTTCACACTGATTCTTGAAGGACTTGATGGTTGATCCATCCTGCCAGTTATCCGACTCATCCCCACTCTTCCAACCAAAGTGATGAGCAAAGCGTATGACTACCGCGTGCTAACCTTTCCAATCACCAATCCAACGTACTTGTGGTCAATCTTGTGCACCTGAGCACGAAACCGCGAACTGAACACGATGCAAAGGATGACCAACGCCGTGAAGTCTCAGGCCTCTTGTACCTTCTCTCCGTCGTCGTCAGACATCCCCCCTTCTTCAGAAGGCTTTTGCGTTTCACTTTCTTGACCTTTTCGCTCCTGTGCTGAGCAGCCTTGGCTCCTGTATCCTTGTTCATTCTCCCCTTGAATGTCTTAATTAATGACTATGTTGGGCTACGGGCATTCCAACCCTTGAGAAACAATTGAATTGTCACAGTCACAGTTTCGGAAGTCCTGGACCACCTCGCTCTCAACCAGCTTGGCCTCCTGCCCAGTCCACCGATCCCGGCGGGGAAGCCGGAAGAGGGACTGACGGGTTGGCATTGAGGCATTTGCTCAGTTGGAGGCTTTGGGCCGGTGTGCAAAACGTCGCAAAACTGTGTCGTTCGTCGGGCCTTGAGCTGGGAGGTTCTAAAATTTCTAAAGGCCTTTTTCAATGAGGCTGGATTTGGGCCAGCTTTACGTGCAAATGGCACTGTTTTGGGGGGTCGTCTGTTGGTTGCCTCGCGGGGCAACAAGCATACGCAAATTGCACGATGCAGATTGACGCGGGGTAGGGATCACAACAGCATCTGCAACTCCCGCCTGTGGAGGGCTGATTCCAGTAACTCTTTGGAAGAATTTGCTAAAGCCAGCAACCTGCATTTGGAGTGTCGGGACAAGTTGTGAATCTTTCTGAGCAATTATATGCATTGTATTACAGTAATACGATAGATTATGTCAAGTATGTTGACGAGTTGACGAGGCCTAGGAATCGTGCTTCCGTGCTACACCTTAAAGTTTGAAAACTGCGATGCCGAGGTCACACTCATGTTTTGTGGAGGATGTCTTCAACGATGTCATTCATGAGGTCACACGTTTGCCATTGACAGTAACATCCGCAGCTCCCTGCCTGTGGAGGACTCATTTTTGGTTCCAAAGGTGGCGAAACAGTTTGTGGTGCAGTTTGTGAAGCTTCGTCTGAAGCTTCAGGGGCTTCTTGTGACGGTGAAGGTTTGAAAGGTTGCGAAGGTTGCAAAGCTGGTGAGGGTGTATCCGCTTGCTTGGTAGGCTCGGTCTGCTCGACCTGGCAGCGGGCACTTGGCTCCAATGACGACTTAGTCCACGCGGTTTTCAAAGAGCCAACAACATGGTGTTGCGAAGTTTTGAGTGTCTCGTTTTTAGAAACACTCTGCACAAGTGAAACCTGAGCCTCTCGTCGCTGCACAGCCTCAGGCTTGGATGGCTGAAATGTGCGATCCGACAACAGCTGTGCACATTGACGTGATGAAAGCGGGATGCGCTGCACGCTGTATGTTGTAAATGCACCCGGGAAGCATCAGCAAAGTGCTCTTCAAAACCACACTGGCAAGCTCCACCAAAGAACAATGAGAGAAAGCCACACAGAGTTCCGCAGAAAGACCCTAGCCGCAGCCCTAGGTGTGCTATGGTGTGCTGCTAGCTGAAATCTGTACAGAAGCACTTTGGAAATCAAGTCATGCTCTTTTCAGGACTCTACCGGTTTTGGCAGCTGAGGCTGGATTGAAAACCCACTAGCTGAGGACGAAGCATCCGCTTGGGCGGGAGCTGTGCCGATCCGCTGCAAGAACTTTGCCAAAGCGGAGCCCTCAATGGGAACCCAGTCACCCGAAGCTGACTTCTCTCGCACATTGTTGAAATACAACTCGAGGGAGAACCAGCAGCTAAGCCGCTATGACGATTTTGCCAAGCAACCTCTGCCGGGGCCATAGGCTTGACACTAGGGGTCTCTTCTTTTCTTTCTTCTGCTCCATCTGCCTGGTCCGCAATTGTGTGGCGTGGAAACGCTTTGCAAATCTGGGCACAGTGACCTCATCGATTCGCCCAAGGATTTGATTTGACAAAGATGGAATCTAAATTCATAGAATTTAGTAGAACATTGATTGACAGGAAGTTATGACCTGTAGGCACAAATCTATATTTGCATATATTTGCAATTTGTGACAGTTTTAGGCTTGAGCTTTCCGAGGATCCAAATTTGAATGCAAATGATTGAGCATTCTCGGTCTTTCGAACATCTAACACGCAAAGCTGGCTAGCATCTGGCCTCAAATGCCTCTGCGAGTTTTGGCTCCTCACTGTGCTTCTGAGCCTGATGAAAGACATGTGCATATCTAAGGCCAATTGAATCAAGGCCTATCACTACCGTGACCTGCCGTGACCTGTTCTCATTCTCACTCGTCTATCCATTGGAACCCCCCTGGGCCCCTGTTGCTCAAAACTCAAAACCTTTCGACCTCCACAAAGCTGACGTGCTTACCATGTCGTTGGTATGCAGTTAGCTATGTGGCCCTAGCAATCCACTATATAACCTTGCGCACCTCAAAGACTTCGACATTCTCGGGCCCTGGAAGATGACCATTGGCCCTCCTTGGGCTCTCATCAAGCTCTTCTAGAGGCTCTTGAGGCTCTATCTTCTGAGCCGTGTCAGCCTCCGTCCTGGTTGACAGGATCATGACAAAAGGCATGCATGGCAAACTTCGCAAGTACAGCGATTGAAACTGGCCTCTGTGGCTCATGGACCTAACCCAACCATGAGCACTCACTACTCTTTTGTGAGCTTCAAAGACTGAACAACATCCTGTGGACCCCAGCTGCAGCAGCTGAAGGTTCGTAGCCCGTGTTCCAGGAATCGTCGATGGCAGGTGGCTCTGGTGGCAGCTCCTGAAGGAACGTCCGCGGGGCCATTTAGCTCGACAGGACCTTGCTGTTCAAGGAAAAATCCGCATGTTGGCGGGGAAAGGCTTCTAATTCCTTCATCCTAGATAAGATCCAGGGAATTCCAGAAAGAAGCATACCCCCCGCGCAGGAAACGGATGGTCTTACCTCGAACTGTAGAGCCTCGGGCCGTGTCATCGGCCCTTTGCATTGCGGACTTTGAGCCGCATTTTGAGGAAGTATCGGTGGAACTCTACCTGCTACATTACACATCATCACACTTAGCTCAACGATTCTCAAAGAAGTGAAGAGAGAGAATGGAATGGACAACCAAAGGCGTTGCGGGATCAGGAGGCATGCCAAATGCTCCTGAGCTGGCCCAAGCCTTGATAGCAACAGCTCAGGCTACCACACAGGCTGCCGAAGCAGCAATTTCACAAGCTTCAGCAGGGAGAAGTGGAGGTGGAGAAGGGTCAGGAGTGGTGATGTCATGAAGGTTTAGCAAATTGTCCCTCGACCCAGTTGCTTCAATCCAATTGATATACAGCAGGGCTTGAAGCAATCAATGCCTTCTCGTGTTAACAGCGGGTAGCACGATGAGCTGGATAAACTCGAAGAAAACCTCAAAACTGAGACGGACTGGCACCTCTCGACAGGTTGCTTGGCATTTTGGTCCAAGGACGTCTTGTGGATTGATCAAGAATGTTGATCAGTTCAATGGACAAGAGCTTGAGACAACCTATATACTCCGCCAACCGCAGGCAACCAGCAGGACAACGAACCTGCTTCAAGGCATCATGGCCTGTGCCCCAAAAACATCCAAAAACGGAACATGAACCTTGAGGAACACTTCAACTTCAATCAGCATGCAGATTTGTCCGACAATGATGGAGGCAAGCTGGGTGTGTGGACGAGAAGGGTCCTGAAGAGGGTGAATGGAGGCAATTAGGACCGCTGTTAGGGTCCAACAAGAACCTGACAGTTGATTAAAAAGCACTCGGGCAATAAGGCCCTCCTCGTGCACGCGGATCGAGGACAGCACGGAGACAGCGGTGACAAGGAGTTGCAAACCGGTGAGATTGCAACACAAGGTTGCGCAGGGATTTTGACAGCCAAAGAGATCAAAGAGTGAGACAGAACGACCACATGAATGAAACCACAAAAAGCTTGGATCGGGAATGCTGCCTTCAGTATCCTTCAGTAACTTAGGCCAGTGAGTGGATCATGTTTGCGCGCAACTAGAAATCACCGGTTGGAGGTGCAGTAGTGGGCAACTATGATGATTGAACAAATGACGGAACCCTAGAGATTTTCACAGCATGGACATTCATAGTCATAATCCATGTTTGATACCGACGGGCTCAAACTGTGAAAGCATGGTTCTGCTGAGGCCAGGATACTGCTTGGGTTTCAAAGGAGAAGGCCGCAGAGGCGTGTGAACATAAATCCATGTTGCGTGAGGTTCGCAACCCGCATCGCTGGTTGCACATGCTGTCATAAAGAAATCAGAATTCCACCGCATGATCTTGCAAACTAAAAGGAGGAACCAAACATGGCATGCTGAGGACACAAAAACATCAAGAAACACCAGGTCCGAACCAAAGGAGTTTCATCTCCTGTGGCTCTTGCCAATCATGACCAATCCGTTTTAGAAACGTCGCGGCAGGATTGGCCTCAGCATTGTTGGTGTGGACAAACCCAAACGACCCTGCTAGCTTAAGTCTCTGGCTTCATAATCTTCATATGGGTCCTCAGCCTCACATGACGCCCAATGACATGAATCTAGGGTTCCAATTGGCCTTTGGCACCCTACTTCTCATCCAGCAAAGTCATGCCATGGCTTTGCAAATTACAATTAGTGCATATATATGATATATGCACATCTTTGAAACATGATTTACAACAAAGCATTAGCCTCCACCTGCCACGAAGTGGCCTCCGCAACTGAACGCTGGGCAGCAATGTTGTAAACTTAAAGCCAGTCGAAAGCACTTGAGACATGAACCTGTCCCACATCTTTTCTTGTCACTGTCCTGCACCAAAGCATTTTCAGCTAGATTGACTGGAAAATGTGGGGCACCAACGCAGCTCTTATCAGGAGATCCCAGCATTGGAACATCTTCACAAAATGCTCATAGTGCACTTCGGATATCTACTATCACTATTGCCTACTATGAATTTGACAGCAGCAGAAGTCCCTGGTGGTGGTAGGCGAAAACCAAGAGCTGCAACTGCAGTCGGTGGAGCCGACTCTAGGGTGAGAGACTGCGACGGCACCTGCTTGCGCTCTCAAAGGAAGACAGCCCGGCTGAAACACAGAACTCTCACAGTGACCAAAGTCAAAACAATCTGGATCAATCTAGCGAATCTAG